GAACGTCTCACGTGCTCAACTTCAACAATACTCTCTGACTGCAGTTTAATTACTCACTGCCTGTGTTCGTTGTGACCATCTTATATATACCAGACTACCCCCCAATCTATTAGTCTCCCGATAATTCCCGAAGGTTCGAGAAGGACATGGCGTGATACTAGTCACGTGACCTCGTGACGCAACAATATATTTGCCTGGAAAAAGAAAAACTTGCTTGTCGCCGCAGATAGCGCTGTCGTTTCGTACAAGTTGCGTGTCGATCGGTACCGCAACGACCGAGATATCAGCGTGGGAGAAGGATGGCTTTTAGCCTTTATATAGTAGATAGTAAATATAGAGTACGTGCAATAATTCTAGTGAAAGTAAAACTTTATCTTAATCTAGTATATAAAATTTAAGGACAACAAGGGACCGCTTGGTCCATCAAGGCCATCCCATTCACTATAGTAAAGTCTAAAATAAAAATAAGACACTCAAAGTCAGCCACGAGAGCTAATGGCGTATGTGTAAATACATTGGATGATACAGGTTTTATATTCTTTTGGATGCTAAAGGCAAGCTGAACAAATAAATTAATAGTGAGTTCAATTCCAATAGGCGGCGCAGCATTCTCCTGTTGGTAAATTGGTACGCGAAATGAGCTACTGGTAACAAGTTGACTGTAACTTTGAATAAATAGGATATGGGATGATATTTAGTACCAATACCATCAACGCTGAAGCAGTAGATGTAGAGTGTTATTGTAAAATTATGACGTGTACGATTTTAATTATTTAGCATATATTTTAAGTAATGGAAGTGTTGAAACTTTATTTGCATATTTTTGGATAATTGTAGAAATAAAATTATGGAGAAAGAAGAAGCTATACTAACTGGATATCTTTGGACTCCACCACAAGGAATAAGTCTTTTGAAGGTTTGTGAGATGTGGTCCTTAAGCCTATTTTTACTTGACCAAACTAACGCCAAATAATATGGTGCGGAAGTAGGTGTACCATGTAGATTAAATTGTCCACGTAGGGAAGGCTTAGTGAGGCTACGCCTATTAGTATTAATCTTTGTATGAACATATCGGTGACTGCAACTTTTAATAAAAAGCACAGTACATATAAATTATAATATTAATTTGGTATTAATACTTTGTTGCTAAGTATAGTACTTTGATTATAACTTACATGTAACAATTACTTGAATTAGTGTTAAAATTATTAAATAAAATTAATACATAATTATTTGTAGGCAATATATTGTTTGGTCAGTTATAAATTGATACTAATACTCAGTAATAGTAATACAGTGCCAAAGATATTGGAGAAAAAGCTTGCACCACTGGACACTAACTTAATCATGGTGTTTATTTTGAGTTTGATATACCCCTGTTTCATAGCTTTAGACTATTACAAAAATAAGTTGGGCCAGAAAATTGAACAGATGTTGGACAATTTTGGGGATTTTAAATTTTGTGAAACATACCACCTTTTTTGGGAGAACTTTTTTCTAAAAATTGAGAAATTTTAAGGAAAAATGGCAAACCCACCTACACCATCTTTGTAGACATAATCCCTTCTCCTTTTTTAAAAATCCTGCATTTTTGCTTACACTGTACTGCTTGTATATAAAAAATAAAATGGACTTGTATAAACTGCAACAATCACCAATTCTTTGGTATGATACTCCTAGAAACAGGAATATAATTTATTATAAATTCATGCAAAACAAAAACCTTTATTTATTTACCTGTAATCTGGTTTCAGTGATTTGGATTTGATGTGATACTCCTAGAAACAGGAATATAATTTATTATAAATTCATGCAAAACAAAAACCTTTTATTTATTTACCGGTAATCTGGTTTCAGTGATTTGGATTTGATGTGGTAGTCCTTGAAGCAGGTTAATGCACACAATCCAATGTTTGATGAAGGACAGTAGTGTTCTAAGTGTGTTACTGGCTGTACCTGCAGCATTTAGTGATGTCAACTAGTGGCAGATGGTTTCTGGCTGTACCTGCAGTGTTTAGTGATGTCAATTAGTGGCAGATGGTAGTAGCACACAGTGTCAAAACTTGGGCAAAATCCTGCAGTATAATAAAGTTTGTCTCGAGTCTGGCTCAAGATGATTTATTTTTGTTCAGCTTACTCACCTTGAGACTGTCTCTGGATAACCACCAAGGAGGTTAAGCCTCAGATTTATGTTTTTATTTAATAATATTGTTTCTTGACAGATAACTTTCACCAAATTTTGTCTCACGTACACACAATTTACCTAATATTAAACTCTTGATCGTAAAAAATGTACAAAAGTTTTGTAGACTAATTAATAATCTTTTCAACTTGCACTTTTGACAACCACTACTAAACCTCAACCAGTCTCATCTATGAACCTAGCTAGGTCTCTGAATAATGATTTTTCCTGGGTATTGTAATATTGTAAACCTGTATCTGATCCAATCACAGCTGATCAAACTCTATATATTAATTTACATATCTTTACATTAGTTAGTATGGGTTTATAGCAGTCAAATTCTTGTGTTATGTGCATTATAATCATTTCTGTATGTAATCTCTGAGAAAAAAGAAGAGGTTTTGCATTACCGTGAACAGAAATATTAGAGAATTTTACATATTATTTTATGTAGCATAAGAGCATTCCAGTAATAGTTTTATTGACCTATATTATGTTATAGCCATTTGAGTCAGGTTAGATATTTTTTTAACATGTACAAATACATCTTGTGAGACTTGTGATAGAAGGGTGTTATTACAGAAGGAAGAAGGTACACAAGTGTAGAATATATATATATAGAGAGAGTTATTTATTTTTCTGATAATAAATGTTATGCTAAACCTTGCTTCAGTTTTGAAACATTTTCATTTAAAAAGTACTTACTTAATATAGATATTTTTGAAAGGTTAAAACATTTTGTATTATAGAGAAAACAAATTGCAAGGTAAATGATAAGAGAAGAATGTAGTTTTGATATTTAGGTAATAGACATATTCTTACAACTTTGAAAAGGAATATTTTTTTCTCAAAATAAAGAAAACTTGGAAGAAAGGATTCTATGGTCTCTACACAGCAAGCAAACGTGGAATCCAGAGGCTGGAAAGTTTTGAAACAGAAGAGCAATTTTTGCGGCAAGCCCCTAATAAGATTTTTATCCTTACTGACTGTGTAAAAATCACTGCTGCTCCCCAGAAACAACAAGCAAATGTTTTTGAGGTAATTTTAGTACTATTAATGCTTTCATGTAATTATTAATTCTTGGTGATTTTGAGACCCTTTTCCAATGTAGGTGTCAAAATTTTGAATTTTAAAATACCACCAAAAAGAACTTACTATACCAGTAGTTTTTCATTTACTAATAATAATATAAATTTTTTATTGGTGTTTAAGAATTTTCAAGGAAGTGGTAGTGTTAATATATCACCTTTTTTTCATATTTAATGGTGAGAATGATAAGATTAGGGGACATTTTTAAAGTTTAGTAGCTGTGAAGGTCTAGATCAGGTACATGCAACTTCTTCCAGGGTGCAGATAGATAGCAATTTATAAATGTACTTGTGGGTCATGCTGTACGAAACAAAATCTTAGCTAATGATCCATTGTGTAATATTGTATATGTTTTTTAAGGCAATATTTTTAAAAATCCTGAATTTACCCTAGTGTACGAAATGTGAAATTTTTTTTCTCTAGACATCCCCTCTTCTCTAATTTATTCACCACCCCTCCAATAATTACAAAATTTAATGTAAATTACTCACTATAATATCGTCATCACATAAACAAAGCATAATTTTCTTAGCTACAATTTTGTTTAGTTACAGAGCCATCAAATAGAAAACCAGACCCCCTCTTGCCACACCCACTTGTCACATCCTCTCTTTCAGGATTTGTCAGTAGTTCTCTTTGATGCTTAATACTATATTATCTATAACCAATAGAAAGCCAAGGTTTTCATCTATCAAATGACATATTATATTATATTGTTTTCTGTAGATAAAATTGTCAATTTCTCTTTCAGTATAAGCTTTGTTCCCACAGGAATGATATTGACTAGCTTGGATGAATTTGTAACAGCTCTTGTCACATAGCTAGGAAGCCAGAATAATTTTTATAGTTATGGGACATGTCAGCTTCTTGCATGTTATTATTCTATGTTTGTTGGTGCATTATTTAAATTATTGAGTGAACTACTACCATTAGTATAGAAAAAAAAAAGTAGGGTTAAGTGTCATCAACAGTGGTCAGCAAAAAAATAAAAGGCCTAGGTAAGTACTTGATTTCTTGTTTTTCATGTGTATTCTTTATTTATTATTATAAAAGTAACTAAGATGTAAAAAAAGGAAATTTTTTGGGTTAGATTAGGTAAAATAGATAATATAATATATTTGTGTTTGTGGGCAGATCTGGATTCAGTTACATTTTAAGAACTCTTTGTGGAGTGGATATAACCACCTCACGAGCCGTATGTTGCACGTGCCTGGTTTAGATGTATGAACCAGGTCCTTTGTTGTCCTTATGCTATACACAATATATTTAATGCAATAGAATACATGATCAAAATATTTATGAGGTTGTAAATATGTAGATTGGTTGTCTGCTGTCTGCAAAGTTCTAGATAAGAGTCTATTTATACTTTATATTTCTTAAACAGTATATTGAAAACTATTTGTGGGATGGTCTGTTGTTTGAGTGTATTAAAGATAATGGTAGGTTGATTGGATACAGATACACAGAATAAATAGTTTATAACGTGTTAGATTGTTGTGGAATGTGAAAATTGTCATTTCCTGTAATTGGTTTGGACATCATTGTAAATGAAGTAGAAATTAATACCAACGTGAAAACAGTATGCATGAAAAATACTATATAACTCTTAACAAAGTAATTATAAAAGTCTTGAAAGATACTCCTTTGTCAATGAGGGATGTCTTTGTCATCCTGTTGAAGAGAAAACCATTTTACAAAATGTTGATGTTTTTTTACAAAAGTGTTATATAGCTGCACTCTGTTCCACTGCTACAGTGAGAATGCAGACAGATATTACTGCCCTACCTTCCGAGTTTTTAATTCCAGTCACTTTTATGTTCTATTACCCTCTGCAGACAAACAGGTGGATAACTTCACATTCACCCACATCCTTGTCTCTGCCAGTATCACCAATGATTGATCAAGACCAGTTTCATCAGCCCCGCCGATATGCAAAACCATTATTCGCCCGTGCCCTCACTCATTGGAACCATGTCTTTATCAAGACGTCCCCCTTTGTTCCTGGACAGGGTCCATGGAGAGAAACCGCTTGTTGCAAATAAAAACGTTGATGCTCCACACCTAGATGTCTTGGTGAAAAGGGTTGCAATGATATAATGGAGCTGCAAAAGTCATCTTGCTGATGGAGATGACATTAAAACCTTACTCACTTCTTACTATTCTGTGTATCTCCTAACAGGAAGCATTTCTGAAAACCTCCAATACTCTCACTATTTTTAAGTTTTCATGATACATAAAGATCAACTTCAAGAAGGAGTAACAATGCTGGTTGACCAGCAAATATATTCCCTCAATGAATGTGCTACTCATTATTCATCTGGAAAATCTGGCCATCCATGTCTGTACTGACACACTATTCTTTCTTTACTTATTTCCAGAAGAAGAAGGTGATGAGGTTAACCTTAACCTTTTTACTGTGTATCCCGAGTTAACTCGTCCAGCAATAACCTAATACGCAGCATGAACCTCGAGTATACTCGTCATCAGGCATTACATTTACTTACCCACTGTGTACAACGAGTTGACTCGTCCTACCTGCAGAAGACAAGCACAATGTCGTTGACTTGCAGATGGAGGGTAACGCAACAGCCTACAATCTCCAGTGTCATTCATTATTATTTTTAGCTGTTGTAAAGTAAATTAGTGGGCCAAAAACATGGTCTCTCTGCAGATGAAATACAACATATGTTGTTTGATTCTGAGGATAGCACATCAGAATATGATAATGAGTCTAGTTCTAGCAATTTAGCTGTGGCAGACAATGATGGTGGTGATGAGAGCACGACAGATGAAAGCCAGACTGACAGTTCTATATCGTTCAGAGGGTCACCTGGCCGGTGTATCGCAATAACTGACACAAATGATCTATTACTGATGATGTGATTAGTATGATTGTTACTGAAACAAACAGACAAGTGCATCAGCTTATTGAGGGCTCGACCTTAAAGCACAGATCCAGATTGAACCAGTGGCATGATGTTATGAGCGATGAAATGAAGGTTTTGTTTGCAGTGTTTATTTATCAAGGAATTATTCAAAAGCTTGAAGTTTGGTTATATTGGTCAACAAAACCATTTCTTGAGACACTGTACATCAGACAGATAATGACTGAACTGCATTTCAGCTTGCTCTCAAAATGTCTTCACTTCGTTGATAATAGTTCATTGCCAGAGACCACATCAGCTGCAGAGAAATCATTCTGGAAAATCAAAAACTTCTTTGATGCACTTATTGAAAGATTCTCCACTGTTTAGTGCCTGAACAACATGTGGCTATTGATAAATCGTTGATGCACAAAAATGAAATGGTGACTGTACACACACGTTGGGGAGATAAACAAAAACCCACTGCAGTGCTTTTATACAACAACAATATTAGTGCCGTAGACTAGATGGATCAGTTGCTTGTCACATATTCAACAGGAATTAAGAGATATAAAATGTGGTACAAAAAACAATTTTTGCCACTTGCTCAATCGAACTGTACTCAATAGTTATATTCTATTAAAAAAAAAAGACAACACAGCTGTGCCTTTGGGCAAAATGAATCACTTACAGTTCAGAATAATGCTGATCGAGAGAATTCTTGAAACTTATCATGATCCGGCCATGATTCCTCGTGGAGGAAGACCATTGCTGAATGAATCAAATCATCTGCAACTAACTGGACATCATTTCCCAAAGTTTATTCTGCCAAATGAAGGCAAAAGCACACCAACATGATGTTGCAAGGTTTGCTGCTCTCATACTGGATCAGATAAGAAGAAAATCAGGAGGGACACAAGATATTTTTGTGAAGAATGCGATGTTGCTTTGTGTCCAACACCATGTTTTGAAATCTATCGTACCAAGCATAACTACTGACATTCAGTCTGTGACAGTGGCCAAAACTTGGACTATTTCTTCACGTGTATGAATGATTTATCATAACTAGTGGTGAAATTAAAGGTTATTGTGAAGCTCTCACACAATGTTCTTTGCGTATAGTTGATGTCATGCAATAAAAATGTTTTAAAAAATTGATTACACAACAGCCATAAAATTCTAAAAAAAATTTCCCGTTAACGGAGTTAATAATCGTATTGAGTATTTGCTTTTTTCCTTCACCATTTTGGAAGACTAAAATGGACACAGTTTAATTTGGTATGGTGTGGTTATTGATGAAAGGTGTCAATCCATGGAGTATTCACACTCATATCACAAATTTTCTCTGGTACAGGAGAACTCGCCCATTTCTCTTTTTTTTTAGTTGGACATTCACTGCCATTGATCTAGCCATCTGTTCACTCTCATTGTTCTTTCTATTGGGAGGTGGACAGTGATCCATGAAGTAGTGATCATCTTCCCATCATCATTCTAAAGGGAGATTAGCAGCATTTTCTTCAGAGTTTGGTCCTAGTGTCTGTTAATGACTGAATGGATGAAGTAACTGATCAAATTCTTCTGGCCATCCTTAAAACTTTTTTTTACATCTTCCATAACATCTTCATCCATGATGTAAACCTAACTGCCAAAGAGGGCTTAGAAATGAGCCAAGGATATCTCCCACAGATATCCCACTCTTAAGCTACATAATATTTCAGAATGCTGATGCATTGCAGGTTAGACTTAAAAGCCAGAAAGAGTCTTAGATTAAATTCACTCCCAATGTCTCTTCCATCACTAAATGTTGCAACCCAGTTGCCAAGACGTAGCTAACTTGCTGGATATTGCCAACTCTTTTTAGAGTGATTTCCTATTTATCAGGTGCCTCCACCTGTTTCCTTGCCTTCTTGGCCATCAACTCATTGGCCGAAAGAACTCATCATTTCAGCCAAACTTTATAATTCTGATGGAAATTAAACTTGCTGTACATTAGTCTGGCATATGTTGGTCTAACAAGAAGACATTCGTTATGAGATGTTATGCCATCTCTCTTTCCTGTCTTTCTCATTTTTTCACTGGTTCTTGTTAATCATACTTGGATAGGATGGTTAATGCTTGTCTCTTTTTGGTTCCTAAAATCAAACAACTTCATCTCCACCACACAATGCAGTATCTGCAGACATTACAAAATTTCTGTCACTGCCACAGTGTCTCACCTGGCAGTGTGTCATACCTAAGAGGGCTGTGCTTTTTTTTTTTCTAAGTAGTCTGCTGTTCTTCTTTTTGGTGTTTGTATGCAATCAAATTTGATTGAAATGGATCTGACATTAGGTGATTGAGGTGTTTAAGGTTGTTAGTGGAATTAATAGTGTTGATGCTTCACCTTTTGTTTAGTCGGGAAGAAGAGATACTCCTGACTGAAAGTATCAACTTCTCTTTGAGCCTAAAGATCAGGTAACTCTTTTGGCCCTGTCAAGATTTACTGTAGCTCTCTGGATTCCCTCTAAATATTCTGTGTTCTGATTTGTTTGCAGTCTTGCTTGTCTTGGATTATGTAGAAGCTAAGCAGTAACTAATTGTATCATCTATACTGACTCACTTAGATCGTTGAAGACCCTGGAATTGCCTAATGTCAGTTCCTACCCATTTCTTTTAGATATTCAGAAAAGACTCGCCCACATGTCACCATAATTTTTTTTCTGTATAGTATTTCTAGTTCGTAGCTATGTTAGCATCTGAGGGAACAAGACTGCTAACACCATGGCCATGTTAGCCTCGAATGGTGATGTCAGTTATTTGTCTATTCCTTGATGCTAGTTGGCATGTGTTTTGGGGTAAGTAATGCATGAACAGATTGAACCCATAATTGCTGATTTGTGCAGGAATTGGAGAGAGGAAGTAGTTTTGTACTCATTACTTTATCTTACAAGAGAAGGACCTTCTAGAGTTTGACACTAAACTCACAGTTGCCTTCAACTTACTTTTCATGTTGATGCTACATTACTGCATAATAGCACCATTGTAACTTCTGGTTTTCCACTGACATTGGGTAGTGTCATTGGAGTGATGACATTGACCATGTTTGTAGTACTTATGGGCCATAGGTCTTTTTAATCCTATTTATTTAATTTCTTATTGTGAGATAGAATAAGTATGTGTGTGTGTGTATATATACACACACACTTATAATCGTAATGTACTCTTGTACACTTCAAATACCCAGTTTTTATAACTATATATAGATTAGCAACGAATAATTTTTTTTAACTGTACAATGTTTATAATGTATTTTCTGTATATCCATATGTATAGATGATTTTATTTCGTATAAAAAAGGGGTAGGTTAAAATACAAGTTCCATAGTGAAAGAAAATATTTTGATTACATTTTTGTATTATTAGAAGCTCTTACTGTTTTGTAAACCAGATGTAACCTTTAGTCTTCGCCAAAAGCAATTCATTTATCCGAAGTTGTTTCTTTCAGGTGAGGACAAAATGTCACACACACATATTTTCAGCAGAAAGTTTCCAAGAGATGACGAAGTGGATCACTTGTCTGCAGAGTGTTGCTTTTGGTATTCCTTTACCATCATCCTCTTCCAGTGACCAACAAGATACTTGTTCAAACCAACACAATCCACAATCCAGTAGTTCTGGTGTACACCAAGAGGAGAACCTACTGTATAGTTCTATGAATGCTCGTAAGTGGAGAAAGGACACAAACTCTTATCTCTGTTTGGATTTACAAAAGTGTTAAAGTGGTTTACTTATTTTTACTTTGACATAAACCAGTACTCTTAATGAAGTTGTAGTCAGTACAAGGTAATATGAAATAGTTTGTTAAAGATGTGACATGCATGTGATATAGAATTTTCTTTTACTTGCAGTAACAATCTGTAGGCCTGTTGGTTCTTCACTCTATTACATTTTACATTTAATAACAGTTCTTCGTTCTCTGTACTGTGCTCTGTCAATGCCATGTTATTATAAGATGATATAATTAAAAACAATTACTGTGAGAGAAAAATAATTATATTCAGTAGTTATTATATCATGGTGAAGGTCATTTGACTAAATTTATTAGTTGTGTAAAACGTTTTGGAAACTGATAAAAGATGCTTTGCAAAATCATTTAACAAAGTTTATAATATTATTGGATAGTCAACATGGTTTCACTAAGGGAAAATCTTGTCTTACAAATCTTTTGACATTCTCTGTCACAAGAGGGTACCTCAGGGTTCAGTCTTAGAACCTTTGCTCTTTTCGAGTTACATCAGTGACAGATGAAGGAATGGTCAATAAATTGCTTAAATTTGCTGATGATATTAAGGCCTTAGGTGTTGCTGACTGTGATCGATGATTTGTATCATTTAGTGAGTTGGGTAAATAAATGGCAGATATGTTTCAATTATAATAAATGTAAGATAATGCATGTGGGTTATCATAATTTGAATTATAAGTATAATTTGGGTGGGAATAACCTTAACTGTGTTAGGAAAGAAAAGAATCTTGTGTAGTGATTGATTAGTCTGTTAATCCATCCAAGCAGTGTGCTGTTGCTAGTGGGAGAGAAAATAGGATTTTAGGTTGTATCTACAGAAATATTGAATACAAGTTTAAAGAGATTATAATTTCATTGTATAGGTAACTGGTTAGGCAACATTTGGAGTATTGTGTTCAGTCTTGGGCCCATTATCTTAGGAAGAACACTGAATTGTTGAAAAGGGTTCAGAGGAGGGTTACTAGAATGATGCCTGGGATTGAAGGCTAACATATCTGAAATTGTTTTGTCTTGAAAAAATAATAGTCGGAGGGGATCTGACTGAGGTCTTTTTTCACACTAAACAGTGAGAATGGCAAGACTAGGTGACACAAATATAAATTTTGGCAGGTAGGAGTCATCTACAGTTGAGACAACTTTATTTTTCTAACAGTGTGGTTGGCATTTGGAATACGTTTTTTTTGGGATATTGTGTAGGCAGTAAATTTAAGTGAGTGTAAGAGAAAGCTTGATAATCATATGAATGATAAAGGCTGGCTTTGAGTTTTTTCTTTAATAGTTTTAGTTTAGTTTAGAGGATGGGACAGGACAGCCTCTCGACGGACCAGTAGGTCCTTTGTTTTCCCTAAACATTGACCACATTATTTGTTATTCTTTACAGTGGTTTTAATGTGTGTTTCTTTAGATTTTGTCATGCTTTAGCTGTAGTTTTGTTATTCATGTAATAGTAACCTTGATTTTCATTATTTTTTCATAAATGTAGTGTTGAAGTTACTGTTATTTATTTCTTTACAGCTGAAGTTTACGAAGTTCACATTGTAGAAACAGAAGCTTCTAGTCGGTGTACATTATTGGGTGATTACTATTTAATTGTCACTTCTGTAAATATATCCTTAGGAGAAAAGGGTCCACAAGGTCAGGTAGGTCGCGTACTATTCACTTGGCCATTTCGACACATCCGTCGCTATGGAAGTAGCCCAACAAAATTTTCCATTGAAGCTGGTCGGAAATGTACTTCTGGTGAAGGACTGTTTATATTTGAAACAAAAGATGGAAATGTTGTATTTCAGAGTGTTGCAGCACATGTTAATTTGTTGAAAATGTCTCGGAGTGAAGTTAATCTCTTGGAAAATTTTAGTGGTGGCTCAGGACCCACTTACTTTGGGAAACAGGCAGCTGCTAGCCATGAGAATCTCCACATGCTTACTCAAGTGGGGAAAGTCTGCCCAGGAGTGATCAAGGATACCTACCCATATAATAAAACTACCAAGAGCTCTCCTGAAAGCATTTTCCATGAATTCAGAAATGAAGATCAAAAGAGTAAGAGTCTTAAACCACTTCCTCCTATAACGAAACCTCCAAGAAAAAGTAAAGGACTTACTGGCAAAATAACACCAACCAAAGACATGGCAAAACCGATACCTAAAGTAGAACATGTATATGATGAACCTGATAGTTCAAACACACAGTTTGATGTCCATGAATTACAATACGTTGAACCTCTGTATGATGAACCAGAAGAAAATGAACAAAAACAAACTATAGGAGAGAATGAACAAGATGAGGTAGATGGGCAGTGTGAAGAACCCGTTTATGCTGTTCTTGAAGAAAATGCAAATAGACAAGAGATTAGTAGTGAACAAAAAGATGGTAGTCTAGCTGAGATAAGGACACTGTTAGTAACAGATGTACCCAAAGACATCGGCAGTCTTTCACTAAGTAGGAAAGTCATTTCTGCAAAAGGAGCTAATACAATATTTCAACAGAACGAGAAAGATTTGGGTGGAAGATATGCTAGTTTGAATCCTACAAAGAGGCACATCTATGGAAAAATAAATCCTATTAACAAATCTCCTGCAGCCAACATTGGAAGTGAGTTGGTCAGCCCAATTAATCAGTCTACTGTGTGGTACTCAGAAGTGGAAGTTGCACGGCACAGTCGAGATGAGGGGGAGACAACCAAGAAACAAAACGTTAATCCATTGGTGGGTGTTGAGTATGCAAATATGATTGCCTCTCAAGGACCAACTAGAGAGCTGATGGTTCTCCAAGATCCAAACCATGAGTCTTCCAATGACAGTGTTCCTTCACATTTCATGTACAATGATACTGAATATGCACAGGTACTTAAAAAGACTGGAAAAGTTAAGTGAAAATTTGTGGAATCAGTTTATAGATATACCTTAAAAAAAAACTGAAATTTTCTTATTGGATGTTATTATTTTATTTTGCTTAGTGATATTATCAGTGTATCTTTCCTGACAAATTATTATGAAAGTATGGAATATCTGAAAATAATACAACGATTATGCACAGTGATTTACTCATCAGAATTGCACTGTTGCTTGAACTGGTGGTCCTTGAGATATTACCCATGCTGCTTATTCAACCTTCTTACTATCTTCTACCATATATGATGGAAGGATTTCTAGAGCACTCCCAAGAAGTTGTGCAGTTTTCACTATCATCTTATATGTTTAGTTAACGGAATGCTCAGGACTTTGTTTCCAAACATCACCAAAATTATTCATACAAAATCTAGTTTTTATTTTGAAAGTTTTATGTATATAGCTGTTGATTTTCTTTTCTTCATTCACAAATTTTGAGAAATTTTTGCGGTTGTCATAAATTTGAATAATCTTTTATTTTATAAATTTTCTATTTACCTAAACCTACAAATTATAATTTTATATTTTGATACAAGCAAGCAGCCTTGTAGTGTTTTGGAATTTCTAGCAAAAAATAAAATAATTCCAAGAATTTAATTCTTCACGATCCTTTAATATTGTTTGTTCAACATGTTTACCTATAATCTTGTAGCTAACAGTTTGTGCTTTGCTTAAAATTAATTTCCTTTTGATGATCCCCAAACAAGATCACGTGTATACAAGTGCTGTCATTAACCAGTTGGTTTTTTGTATTTCTTCTGCAGATATTTCAAGGATGCTCAAAAACAGGTTATGTGTATTGTATACAGAATTTAGTGATAACTAGTCTAAAACAATTTTGGTGTGGACTGTGTGGCCACCTGTATTCACCCACCTGGCAAACTGTGCTATGCAATGAAAATTTGTCATTGAATAATAAGTTTTATGTGGATTATAAGGGTTAATATTTATAATAATTGATTCAGTTTCAATTGCAATATTTTGCCAGTGAAAATGGCTATGTAACAAAATATAACATAAATAGTATCTCTAGATTGCAACCAGAATTCTTTTTTATATTATAAACTTCATTAGGGTCTGACTTTTTTCACTATTTATAGCTGTATATGATTGAATGCTCATTTTTGTAAGAATATGAAGGATAAACCAGTCTGATGAAGAAGTATCATCTTCTTGATGATCATGTTGAGCCTTTCCACTAAGACTGAATGCTATAACTTGCTTGTTTGAGCTTTATTGTTAGTAGTACTCTACAGTGGTCAAAGTCCAGCTGAAAAGTTTAACTGGTATCAGGTTATTTAAGGATCCAAGGTTACAACCAAGTAGTGTGTTGTGATATTGTTCTGTTGTAGAGCGATTCCTTGATTTCAGATCTAGTCCGAGTTTTAAGAATAACAAACACAGCTCTGATTCACCCAGAAATTTTAGATCTGGTTTGCACTTAGACATATACTGTTGCCTAGGGCCTTCTGACCTTTTAAGTAGTGTGTTTTCATATGGATATTAAACTTTAATAAAACTAATAAACACTGTAGGTTCTTATATTTTGTTCACATCATAACCTTTGTTGCAACAATCACCTTCGGTCATAGGTTTCATTTAAATGATAGTTTAACATGTACTTATAACTTAGCAACATCTGTAGATCTAAGTTCGGTTTTAATATTTGAGATAGCTATCTGTATCTTGTTTACACTTCAGCATGAATGAATTATGGTATAATTACTTTTGAGATTACTCATCTACTTGCATGAAATAAAAACAATTCTTCTTTCTAAGGAGAGTTATAAGTAATGCATGTAAATTGAATTGTAAACAATATCATTAGTCTTTGTTTTTAGCCAGTTAGTGTGAAGAAAATTATTATAGGAAAGTAGTGTTGATTTTGACCAACTTGTATGTAAAATAATATAGAAAAGCCGTATTTTTGTTACTGTCTTGTATGATAATGAATACAATAAAAAATAGTGTTTTTTAACTCATTATTGTGAAAAAGAATATTATTAGAAACTAACATTCTCTTGTGTGGAAAACTAATATTGGATAACAGAGTTTACTAACCATTTAACTTTTAAGTTACAATCATTATGAAAATTATTAGAGGATTACATGTAGCATTTCATTAGCTTCAGGGGGTGGCAGGTTGGCATGAGTGAGGATGTATGCCAACTGTATTTTCAAGTGTACTGAATATTGACACATTTATCTATAAATTCCTCCCTATTGGTCAATGCCTTCATATTAATGTAACTATTTCAATATATTATCTAATTTGTAATTGAAATGTCCCAAAGTTACATATGGGCTAAACCCAAGAACTTCTGGAAGTTTAATAACAATCAGAGCTGGTAAGAGACACATGTTGAGACAGTTACAAAGAGGAAAATGTATGTGTTATTTCACCGAAGTTATCGTAAAATATACACAAGTCATAATTTAATAACATCGTCATAGGCCCCCAGTGGCATGTCTGCAAGACTTATACTGCTAGAAACTGGGTTTTGATACCTGTGGTGAGCAGAGCACAGATAATCCATTGTGCAGCTTTCTGCTTAACTACAAACAAACACATCATCATAGACATTTATAATAACAGTAATAAGGCTCTGACCATCCACAACAAGATGTAGCTCTCTGTCAGATTATTATGATCGTGACTTGGTTTTTACCTACCACTGATGCACTGGCAAGGCATGTTAGCAAGCATGTTTGTTGATGTGATTCAAATGTGTGAGTTGCTCTAACCTCCAGACTCTGTGCCAGACCTTTCATAGATATCTGTAGTAAGTTTATACTGTTGAATACTGGTCACATTCCCTTTCACTGTGACATTCCAAACTTCAATTGCTATTTGTCATTTAATTTCACAGTGATGAAGCAGTAGTATGAAAATAGCACAATATTGTACATGTTTAATATTTTCTTAGCGAGAAAGAGTAACAGCATGTAAACTGACCAGTAGTAGATAATTTCTCAGTAGACTGACAAATGAGTCAGAAAGTTTGTATATATATTTGAAGTTCAAATTTAAAACAGACCAAAGTGTCAATTGTTGCTGCAATATTTTCATTATGAAAGACCAGATTTTGTTCTTTGGGCATTATTAGCATTTGATAAGCATTGATTTTGTTCAGTTGTTCAACTGTGGCATCTGGCCGTAGCAGTTAGATAATTGGAGATGGTATTGAGATACCGAAGTTTAGGCCTCATCTATGCTGGCAACTTAGCTTGTATAGGAGTGGTATGTCCCCTACATTTTCAGGCCTCATTTTTGAAATTAGAATTAACATAGTTAGTAGCTGTCTGGGTAGAAAACAAATTATCCTGTGGTTATATTCCCATTGATATAGCCAATCAATAGTTGACAGGTGAATATGAATGTCTTTGATCAGTTCTATTTCTCACTATATATCTCATCATTTTGGGTAAGAGATTGGAGTTGGTGACCCTCTTCTGGGTGTTCGGTAAGTCTTCCATGTAAGTTACAGGACCGTTCTTATCTTATTAGTTTTTGTCGGTGCCAAAGAAGAAAAAAAAATGCCTTTCTCAAAATATTTTAGTAATTTCTAACCTTTGCTAGAGTTGGATGTTTAACATTTATTTGCTTTCTGTATGTCTCTGCGAGGTTCTGTTTTATTGGATAGCAGGTTGCAAGACAACTACATATTGCATATTTTAGTATGCCATGGATGATATTAGGAGTGCATATATCAGGTATTTTTGGTGATCATATTTAATGCATTTAACAACAGATATATATATTGTTACATAGTGTAAACATTACAGGTTTGAAATGTATAGTGGACTGTTCTTGTCTTCTTTCTTGATGGGATGACATTGTATTCTCTGTGAAGGAGCCTTCAATAAAGAAACTGTCAAGTTATCCAACTCAAGAAGCAAGGTGAAAGTAGTCCATTAAAACCCCACAAATCTATATGTTTATATATTATTGTACACTAAAAGGGGTTAATTATTAGAAACAAGTGATAAGATTTTTCATTACTTGTATATTTTTATTTTCAATATTAATAAATTTATAGTGTGTTATAGAATAATTTTTATATATTTTTCTATAAAATAAAAATATCGCTCAAATTGGATAACATTTGATACCATGATGAACCAGAAGAAGTACAGTTTAAAACTGTCGTTTTTATCTGCCTAGCCAAGATGTGCTGATGTTCAGAAACTGGGAATTTGTATCCAGTATGTGTAAGAGTTGTATATGTTTATCATTGCAAGAACTAGTTGGAAAAGGATGTGGCATCTAATACTTTCCATGGGAAAGAGTAGAAAGGTGTGAGTATTAAAAAAAACAACCAGAAAAACTCTACACCTGTACTAGAGATATACAATATAAAGATATTAACAAGTAATTTTATTTGAGACTTCAAGTTGAATTGGTTGATGAATAAATTAAAGTTGTGGTTATAAACAAACCATAGTGAAAATACATAGCAAAGTTGTTGTTTTTTCAAACATATGTGCAAGAAATTAATTGGTTTTAAAGAAAATAATTATATTTTTTAAATAAACGTGTGTATTTCTCACTGTTTATGAAAAGTTTGTGGATGAAAGCACCAGCTCACAGAATTCAATTAGAGCAACAGTTTGCATACCAAAATATTAAATCATATACTTTTATTTTAAAATGAAAATTGCATGTAGACCAAATTTTAATCAAGGTCATGGTATATTTTATATTGTTCCGACTGTTAAAAGAAGCGAGAACTACTAATGTACAACAAACTTACAGAATATAATTTTTATTCTAGCAGATTTATTTAGGTGATTATACAAAGATCTGTGTAAAACAGAAAATATGCTCAGGGTAAGATGCTTCAATTTACCTTTGGTTTCCTTAGAAACAGTGAGAGATTTATACCTGTTTACAGTTGAAAATTAGTTAAAAAAAAACTGCACTACATGTAATTGAAATAGTGAGTTAAGCTAATCATGTGGTGCTTATGGAAGGAGAGAATACTAGGGTTTGAACCTGGGAGAAACAACATATTATCAAGAAGAACACATTATGAATGTATTATTCAAGCTATGTTGTTTTCTTTTATATCGTACAGTGTACAAAGAGTATTATTCATTGATTAAACTGAAGTTTATCATGGTGAGCCTTTTGTATAATTTTCTTAGACAGTTAAGTTGATAATAGTTATTTACATGTATGTACAAACGTTTCTGTGTGAGTCTAATATGGAACACGGGCGAAGCATCTGTTTTACTTGTAGTACTGATTTTATTTAGTATTTTTTGTATCATATTTTGGCAGTTTTGTTTATCAGAAAGTTACATTTGTTATTAATAAATGAAGTAGATATTGTATGATATATAGAATACTTGGTAACATATTTTACAAAACATCACATATATATATATATATATATATAGTACCCAAAACTTCACAACATTAAAATAGATGCAGTGTGTATTTTTTTCGATAATGT